TTACCGCCCGCCTTCGTTAACCACTGTTAACGAAAGAATCAAGAAGAATTAACGGGAATAGGAAGTGGGCACACCTTTACGATTGGTCGCTGTAACAGAGAAGTCTGAGTACGTATTGATACAACGCGTGTATAGCCGTCTTTACCTGGGTGTAATTGGATTATTCGGCCAAGAGGCCATTTTGAAGGAGGATAACGTTCGTCAACAACTAAAACTAGCGTTCCTTCCTTAAGAGGTGGGAGAGTTTTGTTCCATTTATACATGGCGAGATACCGTTGCAGGCATTCTTTAGACCAGCGTGACCAAAAACTTGAAAGCATCTGACGATTTAGTTGCCAACGTGACAGATGAGAACATTTGATCAATTCAAGTGATGGTTCGGGTAGAGTTGTGATTGCACTTCCGATAAGAAAGTGTCCTGGAGTTAACACTTGTAGATCATCTGGATCATCTGTTAGTGGGCTCAATGGCCGTGAGTTTAGTACTGCTTCAATTTGCGTTAATAACGTTGCCATTTCCTCATAAGTAAGTCGGTTCTCCCCAATAACTCGTTTTAAATGAAATTTTACTGATTTTACCCCGGCTTCCCATTTACCCCCGAAATGAGGTGCTGCTGGTGGGTTAAACTGCCATTGAGTGCCATCAGTTGCGAGAAGTGATGCTAATTCTTTTATTTCCTTCGAAGAAGACGTGAAAAAATGTCGTAATACGGAGTCAGCACCTTTGAAATTTGTTCCACAGTCGCTTCTGAGTGTAGAGCATATTCCTCTTCGCGCTGTGAACCGTTTATATGCTGCAATGAATGCGTCCGTGGTATAATCTGTAACTAATTCTAGATGAATGGCGGAAGTGGCATGGCAAACAAAAAGCGAAATGTAAGCTTTGTATGTTCGAGAATTCCTTCCCTTCCAGGTCTTGAGAAGGAACGGCCCTGCGTAATCGACACCAGTATGTTGAAAAGGACGAGATGGTGTCACTCTCTCCGTTGGAAGTTGCCCCATAATTTGTTGAGCTCTTCTTTGGCGATATCTAGCACAACGAACACATTTTAGAATATATGATCTGACTGGAACTCTTCCGCCTACGATCCAGTAATTATGTCGGATAAACGTTAATGTGACTTGAGTTCCTCCATGCATTGTTCGGTGGTGGGCATCGGCAATTATTAAAGTA